AAAAAAAGTATTTCGATGTGTCAACTAAATGACAGTGTACAGTGAAAAAGTTGAGTGGGCATGAAACTGCGTAAATAATTTTATTTATCTTCATTTTTCTGATCAGCTTTTGAAAGTCGCCTAACTAATGCTTGAACTATAATAACTTTCGCATTTATTGAGCATACCATTCATCTTTATCATTAACAATGCTTCAAGAATATTTGCTTAGAGCAATTCAAAAATGACCAGTTTTTTTAAGCTATGCATTACTTTTATCTTAGTTCATCCATTTTGAAAATATTTCATTATGCCTTTTGATTGATTAAAAAAGATCATATTTTTAGACCATCTGCATCTCCAGCCCTTCAGAAAAATTTCAGCCGATTCAGTGGTTTAATCAATGAATATGGACGTCCAGAACGTAATTTCGCATCACAGATATTATCACCATCCGAAATCACAACTTGTACTGCACTCTTCTCCTTTAAGGCCCTTAATTCTAAGTAAACATTAACATTATTTGGAATCACATCTTAATGATTCTTTCAGAACAAATTTTACCTTTTTAAGATTTGCTCAAATTTTTTGAAGATACTACTAAGGGCCTTAAAGGCCTTAAAAAAACTAATGAAATTTTAAAAGAATTAGTCTCCTTCTAATTATATTGGAATGATAATAAATTTAAATACATCAGTTTTTTAAAAGATCACTGCTAAAATATTGAAAGCTAATTTTACTGGATTTCACACTTGATATTTAGAGAATTATCATTTAATCGTGGTGATGTGATACGGGTACAACGCGTTATTGATGTCAACTGGATGGAAGGGGAACGTAACGGTCAAATTGGCATCTTTCCTTCATCATACGTTCAAGTGCAATTTTGCTTATTTCTAATATGTTTTCGTTAAACTACTCGCGGGGTTCACTTCAAAGAAATATTTAATTTATTCCATTAGTATAATTTTGATCTCAGTTTCATTACTTTTTACGGAATTGTACCTCAGATTTCCTTAATCTCAATGTCTTCCTTTATATATGTATAATTCATGAATTTTTCAATTATTTTGCTGATGCTTCATTTAGCTATCAGATAAAGATCTGAGTTATAAGTGAGAGAGACAAAAAGTTTGAATGATGTGATTCACAGTAGAAAAAAATATTTTATTTTGGTTAAAGTAACTGCCATAGTTTCTTATGGGAAGCAGTATTATAAGACTCACATAGGTGAGTTGATCTTTTGTAATCAGCTAATCAGTCTTCGTAGACGGGTTAAAATTATTTGTAGATTGATATATGTTACAGATTGATGATGATAAAGTGAATGAGCAAATTAAGTTAATTGCTTTGTATCCATTTTTCGCGAGAAACAGAAATGAGCTGTCGTTGAAGAAGGTTTGTTAAGATCATTAACACTGTTCAATACAAGTTAACTCATCTACTTTTTAAATTGTGGCTTATCGTGGTCAAATGCAGCTTTAACTAATTGTGATATTTTTAATTTTAATTTTCACACTTTTAGGTGCAAGCCTAGTGATGATATAGCTACGATTTACAGGGTGAAACTTTACGCTACTTGCGCGCCATTGATGTGAACTGGATTGAAGGTAAAAATGTCCATGGCCAAGTAGGTATTTTCCCTAAATCATACGTTCGCAAAGCATTTGAAGATGTTTCACCTGATAGCAATGAAACCGCGATACCAGATAGGCCAAAAACTCCACACATCAATACCGTTCCATATAAGTTTGTTGCCATAATATTTTGCATGCTTTTGGCTTTCTAGAATAAAACTTGGTGAAAGATTTTAAGTACAAAATTGAAATGTATGAAAAATTATTACTGAGTAGTTGTTTTGATAGATTTTTTGGTGAAAAGGGCCCTTCATTTATTCCTTTTAGTCAATCTTATTATTACTTTTTCACTGTTTTCCCATTCGTATTCATTGTACATATTATTCTCATACAACCATTGCTTACAGTAATCATTTAAAATGTTTGATAGCACACATTTTGAGACTTAATTTCGGCAAGTTTCAAATCTACTCTATTTTTTCCAGCATGACTGAAGCAAACTCTAAAATACTGGAATTACAATGATCATTAATTTTCATGTTTTGCCGTGAATCATCATTTCATTTGGATTATCATCAGAATAGCTCGTTAAAAGTATTAGAAATTTGGGATTGCATAAGTTCTATATTGGAATAGACAAAGCAGAAATCGAAAAAGCAAACACTGAGCCAAATAGTAAAAAATTTTCAATAATTCATCATTTGCCTGAGTAGAAGCGACATTCGAATGGGATAAACCCTATGGTCTGCAACTCTTTAATTATAAATTGCAATATTTTTTTGCACTTACCATTTACAAATTCTCAAATTCTATTCGTGAACACGTGAAAATAATACTTAGATGACAAGCAGAGATTTTAATTTTTAGATAAATTAATTAAAAAATTATAATTTTCATGTAATTTCAAAGCCTAACATACAAATCAGCAAAAGTTTCTTTTCTAAAACCGTTTCACCTTCGAGTTACTTTCGAATTTTTTGTCACTATAAGAACACTCGCATCAAAATGCCTTATGAATCATTCGGGATCACCAATGTATATTGTTTACTTAAATTTGCTTTTTCTTTCGTTAAATGTTCTTGCATTAAACTTTTTCTAACATCGTTATGCAGCGATGATAAGTACGTATAGTTTTGATGCAATCATCCACAGTTGGTTACAAAAATGACCGAGTCTTTCTAACCAAAATAAATACAAATATATTGATCATTAGGTTTGGAAGTAAATGAAATGAGTGGAATGTCATTTCAACTTGTGATTTCGTCTATCGATCTCATAAAAAGCCCTTATATCTTATTCCAATGAGTATTCAGAAGATCTTACTGTGTTGTTTCGATATGGTTGTCTGTTTAATACCCAGTATCTTGAAAAATTTTTTTGAACGTTCTGAGAATATCGATCAAAAAGAAAGAAACAAAGACAATCTAAAAACTATCGCACTAGGCATCAATCTTTTTCATAACTAGTAAATTGTTCTCTGTCGGTATCCTTCTTAAAACTCACATGCTAACAACTGCAGCAATTAGATGCTTTACTTGGTATTGTTCCGAAATAGAAAGTTTCTAGTTTTCCAATACTTTGTTCAGCAAAGAGTCAATATTTTCACATTTACTTTATACTCTCAAAGGATTAATTATAGTTCTTATGTCTTAACTGCTTGAATTGCATGGCACAAAACATAAGGCTAGAAAATCTCTTAAATAATTCAAGCACAAATATGAGATATTGTATGCTACCAATTCTATTTTTCTGTTCTCCTGTTCTAAATTTCATTCATCTACAAAACTTTGTGTTCTTTCCATGTTTTTCTAGCATTATCAATAAGAATTTCGCTCACTTCAAACATAGTAAATCACAGTATCTATTCTAGATTCAAATTTTATGAGAAAGAAAACAATATTCGCTTTTGTTCCAAAAATAGAATGGCTAGCATAAAGTAATGATAATCAGCTAAAGGCATAGAATATCAATGTGATCAAAAGTCCCATTTTTTTTGCTAAGTACGTTGGTCTACTAGGCTCTTTACACTTAAATCATTACAACCTTGAGCATTATAACATTTACTTATTTGCTATATATATATATATATATATAGCAAGTAAGCACTTATATATATATATATGAAAAAGTGCTTTGTGGAGAAGCCAAGTTGATAGTTTTAAGTGTGCATCGCTTTTTGTTCTGAACTTTACACTACCAGTGAAATGCTATTATTTTTCTAATTAAATTTGTTAATATTCAGTATGTATAAAAATACATACGTATATCAATCAATATGATTTTTTTTCCAGTCAAGCCACTTGCTTCAATTATGCATATTTACTCACTGTCGTCTTTTCGCAATTTATCAAGGCGATTAGAAAACTAAAATTACGTATATTTCCACTATGATTGCAAAGTTTTCCTCTACGAACAGAGTATTTTAACTGCCATTTGTTGTAAAAATATTTCATTTTGAATGGGAACTTCACTTAAATTTCTAAGGTTTTGGTACTTCTTTCTAATTATAATCGAGAAAATTCAATGTGAAGGAAGCATTGTAATGCAATTAAATTTTGATAGATTGAATGGGAAAACGTCAACTAATACACACAAATTTCTGAACTAGATTTTGGTGTTATGAGCAATTTTTACTAGATAATTATGTGAAGTTGTTCATATTACTGGTGACTGATAATTTCTGCTTGGAGCTTGAACTTTTAAACCGTGCTGATTGTCCAATTGCAGCCTAAATATAATTTAATCTTATATTTGCTTGAAGTAGCTAGGAAGTTGAAAAATGCTGCAGTTATTTATAATTTTACCATTTTACTTATTTCACTGCTCATTTTTCAGTATTAATACCACAATTACAATAATTATTTCTTCTTTATTTAATTTGTGAAAATCGTTAAGGAAAGTATTTTTTATTGTTATTTTTAAGATAAACTTTGTTTGCTTGTCAAATTTCTCCCTTTTTATCAGCAATAAATGAAAAATATTCTTCAGGAATTAATCTTACATTATCTGAAATATAATTTATTACAAATAACGTATATTATTTTCAAAGTTATGCGTAAAAGCAAGGAAATTTGACTAAACTTTGAGAATTGTTGGGATTAATTATATTGGGAGCATTAAACATTGTACCAATGCATAGATAGATAACTGGATGCACAGATGTACTGAAAGGAAGAACAAGATATTACTGAAAGAAAATGCAGTAAATGAGCCTTTTTCAAAAAGCTAAATTTGATTTAAGACTAATTTTAGTGCAATCAGCAAGTTCTGCAGTGTTGAAATTATTCTTTGACATAGCCAAACAAATTTATGTAATTATTCTTTGAGAAAGGGACTCGCTCAATTGGTTTTGTTGAGCATTCATAGTCTAAATTGGATGTTTCTTAAACTTGTCATACCACGGTTTTTTTGGCGTACTTCATCAAACATTCAATGTTTCGAGTAACATTTTATTAGCTCAGTGCTAGCAGTTTCCGCATTTCTTGCTGGTGCTACATCATATTCGTTCATAAAAAATTTTTTCTATTTTTTCCAGTAATATGGTTTTTTTAAAGCTTTTTTGATTGCTTAGATCGCAATCACATATCCTTTATTCATTGAAAATGTATAAGCTCTAATATTCTCTCTTTCTAGATTTAATGCTATGCCACCATTTTAGCCACACACCAAGCAAATTAATTTTTTTTCATATAAGGAAAACATTTTCGACTTTTTATTTGCATCTTTTTATACCAATTTACTTAACTATTTTATAGCAAGAAATACGTTCTTCTGTTTTTTCTAGGAATTCTCAAAGCTGTAAATACTCGCAAAATTATGGAATTGTAACATGAATTGTACGAGAAATTGTGAAAAAATGAATTATAAATAATTATTGTGCTTATTTCCAGTTCTAGTTATCTGCTCTGCAGATAACCATAGCAAATGTTCACTACCTTCAAACGGCTGCACTCTAATTCAAAAGAAGTGCACAATACCGAGTCAGTGGTTAAAAATGAAGTTTCAATGCACTTTGTAACCGCTCATCATCCATTAAGACCATCATGGCGTTCTATTCGGAATAAAGTACGAATTTGTCGGCAGATACAATATGATTTAGCTCATGTTTGTCATCCTGTAGTTAGTAGAAGCAGCAGCAAAAATAACGGAGTATTAACTGCTGTTCGACCACGATTTCTAATCAGTTCAGTGGAGCAACAAATTTATACAATTTTAGTAACGTTCCTGGACCAAATCATCGAATCCTATCATATCACGTATAGCACATGGGCATGTAGGAAGTTTGGACGACAGCTAGCAAGTGTTTTACGAGCAATAAGTTTTGATCATGAATACTGCTGGCGATTGCTGGAAAATCGCATCCTTTATTACTTGGTCTTAAAACATTACAACATTTCAGTATTACTTGCGTGGCATACTTTTATTGGTGCTTTATCAGATACTGTTATTAAAGGTTTCTGTCAAGCAACATTTGCTGATTTACCAAAACAGTTACCAACAATCTTTGAAGATTCACCTGCTGAGTGCTTTTTGTACATTGAACCTTATCGTCCAACATTTCTTGTCAAACTACTCAACTTATTTGTATGCTCTATTATTTTATATTTTGTGAGAAGCATGTTAGATTTAGTGGTTTAATGAGTTTTTTCTGCCATTTATTATTGCAGTTGATTAGTAATCACATTTATCTTAGCTCTCTTGTTTTGCTTGACATATTACTGAAATATTTCATTAAAAACTTGCGCAAGTTTAGGCAGTACTTATTATAATTATTGATACCTTCAGATTTTGTATAACTGCTGATTATAATAATACTGAAAGGAAGTGGAGAAAATATAAATATCTCTGGATTATATTTAAGCAAAATTATCTTAAATAAAAGTAATCCTGACCTCTTTATTAATTTTCTTATCGCCCAAAAGAACAAAGCATAATAAATTACATAAATTTGGAGTGTAATATTTTTTCTTTTTTTCATTAATTAATATGAAAATCATAAATTGTTTGAAAGGTCAAAATTACATATTGTTTCAAAGTAAGTTAATTATAAATAATACGAAGTTTCCACTGTATTTTAAAATAAGTACATAATTTTAACGAATTTATATATTTATCATGATCTTTTTTGTTATAGTGAGAATAATTAGTAAGTATCATTAATTTGAGTTTTAATTATGTTTTACTTTTGAGAGAAGGAAATCTAATAAATCGTGGAAGCGAAGCAGAGGAAAAGCACAGTCAAGAAAAGCCATGTGGACCTGCTCAGATTCTGCCGAAAAATGCAGAAACGTAGGGCTTTGCGCATTCTTTGCTGTATATTTTTGTAAGGCATGTTTGTCAAATAGAAGTAATTTATGTGACAAAAGAAAGCAATTTTCTTACGTCATTAAAAATTTAAGCCGTTGTTGACTGGTGAATTACATTTGATTTTCTGTGCTGTAAACTAATAGCAATAAGGTCTCTGTTCTAAATGAAATTCCAGCTTTGTTTTTAAAGCATGTCAAGTGATGCTAGGTTTGCTAGAATGCTTTATTTATAAAATATCTGCATTTATTGTAAAGACCTATTAAAAGTAAAATTATTAAATTTTCTCAAATGATTGATTTGAAACTTCAGTTATCGGGTCCTTTATGCTTACAAGCCAAAGAATGTGGACGAGCTTGAACTGCAAGAAAATGATATCGTTTTTGTTGTGGAAAAGTGCGACGATGGCTGGTTCATCGGTTTGTCATTTTCATTTAATCATTTGTAACAAAAGTTAGCAAATTTTAATGAAATTTCAGATGTAAGAAATAAAGTGGGGCGAAAATGATCACATTACACTAGGAATGCAAGAGTAAAAATATTAACAGGGAAAAATATGTGCAAATAGAGTTGCCTAACACTACAACCAAATATTATATTTCTTTTGCTTATATTGTCGTATTTTTCAATTAAGGTTGAGATCACTTTCTGTACTGAATATATAAAAATAATATTTTCGACTGCTCTCGCGTATCAAAAGTGTACAGCTTCCTATTTATAGGCACCCTATTACGGACAGGTCAATTTGGAACATTTCCAGGAAATTACGTGGAAAAACATCAAACTTTATAAAAGTGATGTTCTCTATTATATTGCAGCAATTAAATCATCTTTTGTTAAATGTATTCATTGTGTTTTTTCGTGAATTATTCATTTTCAATAAATACTTGATCCTGCTGTATTTTTTTCGCATTCACTACCTTGCAGTTTACACCTGATCCAATTAGACAAGTTTACTTGAAGGAGACCGAAGTTACAATTGAAATCAAAAACATAACTGAACTATTGCTGCAAAAAACTGAGACTGATTTGAAGAACTTTAACAAAATACTCTTATGAAGATTGATTTTTGCAAAACAACGCATAATTGGTTAATAACTTGCACTGCAAACACTTCAGTACTGACTTTGCATATTTATTTACTTTCATATTTGAAAAGACATTAGATCTAGTTATGTTCCTTCACATGACGGATTATTTTGCTTGAATTAGTCAGTTACTGGTGCCTGTTACTAATTATCACATGTGCATAATTAATAGCACTTCTAGACAAGATGCATTTATCTTTAAGCTCACTGAACTGCAGCCAACTGAAAAGCTAGAATTTGGTTCGGTTTCTCGATTGAATTCTGTTTGAATATCCATAGCACTGGATAAAGATCCATGCCAATAAAATGCTGCAAGTCCGCATATACTAATGTTTAAAAATAAGAATAAATTAGTTTCCAGACTATTCGCTTTTCCTCCCTTCTTCTTTACTATTTTCATTTTGATCGTATAAAGGAAAAAAGAGCGTGAGGAAGAAGAAAAATAAATTCTCATCGTATCTATCAAAAAGTTGGAATCTTTTCCCGCTCAATATTTAGAAATGATTTGCGTATGGAGCACTGGGACGATCTTTCGTTATTTGGATTGTGTGTAGTTTACATATTTTAGCATTTATTTGTAAGTAATATTGATAGTATTTTGATGAACTGAAAGTAACTTAGGTTAAGTCTTGGTAATTATTTGAAGCAGTTAATTGGAACATTTTTTGTGTTCTGCACTTGATGGATCTATTTGGTTTGTATTTCCCTCTTTATTAGCTTGATTTCAGTTTCATACTACATCATATTATTGTTTATTTTTCGGTACGAACCAAATTTGTAAATATTCGCTTTTATGCTAAGCAGTGTATGCTAGGAAGACATGTCTTTCATGCGAACTTTAATGAAACAATGTTGTTAAATTTTTATTACTTTTTTCCTTGTTCAGCACAATAATTAGATGATAAAAATTACTTAACTTATTCACTTTGAGGAATATGTAATTGCTTTTTTGCATCAGTTTGGTATATATCGAACTTGCAGAACCTAGCTCTAGTTCTGAAGAAGAAGATGGACAGCCACCATCCTTGTCATCTTTTGGTTATCATTTTGATGCTGATGGCGTAATGAGAGATGAGGTTGGTATTATTAGCTTACAAGTCAAGTTGAAAGCACTAACTGGACGAAGTTTGCATTCAAGGATTTAATTTGCTCAAAAGATGCATTTGTCATTTATTTCCCTACTCCATATTTCAGGGTGGAGAGACGTTCAAGTTTATTGACCAAAAAAGCTATGAAGAAATTGGTCATGCTGTAAGCGAAGAAATATATCGAATTATGGAGAAATCACCCTACAATATGAACAGACAATATGTATTCTTTTCTCTTCTTTTGTGTACGATCTTTTTTCTTAAACTTTTGGATTGTAGTGACTCCAGCGTCCACAGTACTAAAAGTTGTTCTAATTTATTTCAGCTGAACTGTAAGGATAAAAAAAGAAGTGCGTTCATATTTGTGAGTTCAAATTGGAATAAGAAAAAGTATCTTGTTGTTCTCATACATGGTAGTGGTGCTGTTCGTGCAGGGCAATGGAGCAGGAGGTACTATTTATTATATTATTACCGAGGAGCCGTCTTCCAAGTTATAATACGGGAAAAACAACTTTGAACAAAGAATTTATAGTGGTTTTACTAAACTAAATGTTTTTAATTGCTGAAACTAATTTAAATATTAGTCTAGGTTTTTTGGCGTTTAATCGCTTCAAAAAAGTCTTCAAATTCATATGATTGAAAATTTATTCATTTACAGGCTGATAATGAATGAAAACTTAAACGTAGGCTCACAGTTACCATATTTGGTAATGTGCAACAATAGAGATTGGGGAGTCGTTGTGCTGAACACCAATATGAACCATTACAAGGCTACTGATGGTTCTCTTCTTCCTCTTCCAGTTTGTTTTGCATTGTATTCAACTAGCTTTTAAAAAATGCATCAGTATCTGAGTAAATGGATATTTAATAACTATTAAAAATCGGAGTGAATGGCTGGGGATTTGTTAGCAATATAACTTTACTGTTTGTGTTAGAAATTATTGCAGGAAAGTGCAACGGCAATTGAACATGGTATGACTGTATGGAGAACATATATCGCTAAAGCAGAGGCAATCTCAATTGCAGTAATTGCTCATAGTGCAGGTGGTACGGTTATTGCGGGCATTGTGAGTTGTGAAATGTTTATTTGTTTTAAAATTTTTGAAATTATTTGAATGATGTTTCTATCTGTATTCTGTAGATGGAAAATTACTGGAAAATGGCATGGATGAAAAAGTTGAAATGTATATGTCTAACGGATGCTTTATTCACATTGCCATCCGTGGCTGAAATGGATTGGGTACCAATTATACAGGATTGGCGAGCGTCATCAGAAACTGTGGTTGGAATAAAAATAGACAACAAGACATTTACCCAACGTCATTATATTAAATATGTCTCTTCTGGAACAGATCGACATGAAGAAACTTCTACTGCAGCAATGGAAGATATTTTTAATTTCATAAGCCTTTCATTCTCTGAATAACAGCCCTTCTTGTGCAGTGTTGCATTCTGTAGACCATTCATCTTGTGGACATAAGTTATATTATTTGTTCTAGTGAAAAGTTTTCTATTATTTGTTTATTTTAATTTAGCATATTTGTTAATTTGTACTAATGTGTGTCTTTGATACTTCAAAGAAAGATGTAATTACTTTGAGTCAATCTGTATGGCTACTTTAAGAAAGCCTGTATGTTGTATAAAATAAAAAAGTATTGCATTGCTTTCTTTGTACTACTGAATTTGTTAACATGGTTTTGTTTATCATCCAGAGATTGATGCTTCAAATAATTTTGGAATTATCAGTTGAGTCCGCAAGCTTTGGTCTACATTTACATGTTTTAGATACTGAAAACATGATGAGACCCGGTGAGCTCGTTTCAAATTGGATGCATGCAGAGGAAATTCGATGCTACGTAGAGATTGGCGATTTGGTTGAGTTTCAGCGAGTGATTGGTCATGCAAAACGGCGTATTTACACAGTACTCTACACTTACGCTTAATTAATGCTCTAGTGATGGTTGATTTAATCTCAGTTGATTATTTTGGAAGTAGAGGTTGTCTAGTTCTACTGTTCGTTGTAGAACTATGTATAGCTGGAAGCTAAAGGAATTAGATGGTCTTTAATTTGTCAATTCAAAAGTGAAAAATTATTTGTATTTCAGTTTTTTAACCTAATATTTTACACTTTTCTTATTGTTTTATTTTTCAAATTCCATTTATTACAGCGACTTTACTTAAATACAATTGATTGGTTGTATGAAATCTTTCAAATCTTTCACTTATTTCAAATAACATGACAAATTAGGATAGTTATAGAATTAATTTTTTATTTTAACAATTTATCAAGGATTAAAAAGTTACAATTCCAAGGTAAAAGTAATAATTAATAGTATCATTAATTATTATTAGTACATTTTACTAAATAATTATTGTTAATTATTTTTATTACATTTCACTAAACAATTATTGTCAATGCATAATGATTTTGTTGTTATCAAATTTTTGATTACTAGTAAAGTGCTAATCTTGAAATATGGAATTGTAAGCAAAGATATCCTGTAAGGTAACTTTCATTTTTTATTTCCTTCAAATTTAAGATGGATCAATTTTAAGCACTGGGGAGTATTCATTGGTTTTCAAGATCGAGAAGCATACATTGCTCATACAGGAACAGATTTTGGAGATTTCGGTAATAGGTTTGGTGATGAGTCTGCTGAGTCATTGATTGATATCAAAACAAAGGTTTCTCGTAGTAATCTTATACAGGTAATCTATAACATTTCATGTCTTTTTATTCTGATTTACCTGGAAAAATGTGACGTATAGCTGTTTGTTTTTGGAAAATGCGATGTATAGTTTTTTGTTTTTAGGATTATGCTGTTCCATACGACTTTGTTTTTATGACTTGTAAGATTTTTTGTACATTATTTTGCTGTAAAATTATAACTCTCATAAAATTGCTTTTATGAATAACAGTTTTAGGTTCGCCGTGAAGAATTAAGCTCTGTCGCTCGAGGTGATAAATGCCGAATAAATAATTCGTTAGATAAAGAAAAATGCCCTTTCCCGCCTGCTGTTGTGGTCGATCGTGCTATACTGATGGTATGTGTGAAAAAGTGATCTAATTTCATCTTAAATAGAGCTCTTATTCTTACTAAAAGTTCCAGCTTGGGAATACTAACTACAATTTGCTTCTGAATAATTGTGAGCATTTCGCCAAGTACTGCAGATATGGTTTAAGAGAAAGTGATCAGGTAATTACGGTTTTGACCGATTTTTATTTGTTGGTCTTAATTTTTCTTAACAGCAGCAGTAAAATTAAAGCAAAATCTACTTTTGACAAGTTCAAGTAGCAGGAGCAATATCAACTTGCTCAACTGAATTCATTTTCAGGCAGCACTTGTAAGTACCATAATTATAGCCTCAGCTACATTCTGCATAACAGGTTCACTTACAGTTGCAGCAGTTGTAGGCACCTTAAGCTACACATTTAATCATTTTCGACGTGAGATAAGATTACCAGCTTCTTTTGATAAGTAATTACCAATTTGAAACATTTTGTGTTTGTATGTGTGATACTTTCTAGATTCATGTATCCATTCTTAAATTGTGCTGTTATTCTATATTTCCAAGCAAATGCTACCGAACACATTGCACGTGGTGCAAGAAATAATGATTAAGAGCTCCTTCACTCATTTTTGAATCTGTTAGTTTTAGTAGCCGTATCAAACCATAGTCATGAATTTTGAGTTATGAAAGATATGCCTCTTTTAATTGCCACATTTTAAAAACAACGTTGCACGCCATTTCATAAGTCGTTCGTGCCAGTAAGTAATGATTTCAAAGATGCCATGTATATATAATGGTAGTTCATGTTTGTGCTGGTAAATGCGCCTTAAATCAAATAAGCGTACGAACTTCCATTTTTAGCGCCCAAGAACTTCCTAGAATAAATCTCCAAAAATTATGAAATATGCATTTGTTGTTCATAGTTATCAATTGTATATGTCTCTGCATGACGAGTTCCCTATTCCTCTCTTGCTATGCAATAGCAAGTGACGTCAAATGCACCTAACAGCGTTTTCTGAGCTTCTAACAGGTTTTCAATGGTTGGGATGCATAAGAGCTAATATATAGTCTTAAGTTGAAGCACGATAGTTGTTAGGTACATATTACGGTCATGGGAATTCTACCTCATAATCGTCCCTTTTCAGTCAACATCGGCGCGGTAGCTACTAGTCTGTTATGAAATTTGAGACTCATGAGCTCATTCCTTTGCTTGACGTCATAATGTCACACAGCTGTTGATGGGAGTATGGAGCTAATTAGCATCTTATATGCGGATTGTAGTTATGTATGCTTGCATTAGAAGCATTGAATAAAATTTTATTTGTAAAGCACCAACTCTCGCAAGTATTTTCGATAAATCTTTATAGCTGTTATTGGAAAGAACAGGAGATATGCCTGATCATTTATCTTAAAAAGTGAATAGTTGAGGAGGACTTATTGCATAAAACAGCCTTAAAAATTGATATGATAAAGGGACAGGTGATCATCTTTTAGAAACTGCTGCGAATGCTACAGCAATATACATGATAAAGCGATCAGTTGAAACTAAAACTGCATTCCAAATACTACATGATTCTAGCGCTCTCAAACAAAGGAAATGCAGGGCTAATTAATGAAATATCGCAGGATTGATGATTTTTGGAGATAACAAGTGTGAAATAAGATGTCAAATCTGATAAACAGTAGAAAACAAGATACTGGTGACCGATTGATTGCTGAAGATAAGGGAATAATTGTCTACATTGAAAAAAGGTTGTCAAATTAACACAAAGTCAGATTAGAAAGCACTAGAGAGAGCGGTTCTATGTACTAGCAATACAAGAGCGAAGAAGAATTAAATCTACTCGATTAAACAAATAAATAAATGCTAGTATAAACCCATCCCACATATGGATTAAGACAGGAAACAATAAAGATCAACAAGCTTGGCAGCATTCGATTCGATCAGCAATAACAAACACAAATGTTCGAAAAATAAGATAAGAATATAATATATAAGACGAGAATCATTTCAATTATAACATTACTAGACGATAGAAAGATAAAATCAATGCAGTTATACTAGATACTGCCAATCAAAACTGTTATGACTGATGAAGCATAATTTATAGAATCACAGTTATAGGCTAAGAACTGAAAATAAAATAGGCATAGTAGTAACTGTATGTTCGTTAACATGTAAATCCCACGACGTTAAGCGCAGAGAGATGTGAAAACTATGTAGATGAAATCATCCGATTTTTCTGGAACACCACGTTTGATGTCACTTAAAGGCATTTTCAATCTTCACTCTATAACTGCAGTATTTTGAGTGATGATAGGCGTCTTCATGAATGTTAGAGAAATCAACAAGCTCAGCACTCTTCCTCTGAACGAAACAGAATGCAACCCTAATTTTTTATACAGTGTAAATAGGAAAAAGAAAAGTAGGTGCTCCAATCGAACGTATATACAAAAAAACAAACTTCTGATGACTCCTCCAACCATTCTTGATCTCTCGTTGCAATGAAATCTTCTTTTGCATCTTCACTATCTAGCCACTGCCACTTCCTTTTCTGTAATATACAACAAAACATCTCTAAAATAGAAATCTCAAAACCCTGTTGATATAATATATTGCCCCTTCCAATGATTCAGAACTTACCATCACAACTTCTTCCTCGACCGATAACGAAATATCTTCATCATTTGTTAAAGCGATTTTTGATAAACCAGAGAGTGAGCAGCTATTTTTTCTGAGAGTACATCTACAAAAACATTAAATAATGCATTTTCAGCTTTTAAAATGTAACTTTCAACATTTCTGATGTTTAATGCATGAAAACGAAGAAAAAAGGAAGCACAGTTCTTGGTTATGAATTTTCAAACATAAACAGCTTGGTAAACTTTGATATCAGAATCAAATAATAGATGCCTATTGAAATCGGTCTATTTTATAATACAAATATGCTGGATCAAAAAATAGAATAAAATTGTACCGGTAATTGGCAGGAGGATAAACTGATTTTGAATCTGTTCGTTGCCTGAAGAAATATTTACGCAAGTTAGCATTATGCAAACGAGGATCATCTCGCCACGTTTGGTCGGATTTAGTATCTGCTGGATACGAACTTGAAGAATGCATTGATGTACTGTCAGATACATTTTCAAATTTAAATTGTCCACTTTTCCTTCGCATCTATGATATACATGTCTTATACATAAAAGAATGTGGAACATGCAATAACTTCTGTTATATTCAGAAAACACAGTACAGGTATCTGGTATGTATTACCTCCTCAGCTCTTCTTGCATCTATTTTAGCCTGAGCTGCACACATATTTCTGATACACTCTTTAGCTAACTCTGTGTCTTCCTTGTTTTCCACATCAACACACTTTAATACCACATATATCTAAAATAAACGCCTCATTTTGTCAAAAATAAAAAAATAAATTACTTATCTTCATAAATATATTATGATTATAAAAAAGTTAAACGAGTAAATGAGCAGTTTACCTTGAAATTCCTATTTACTTTGTAACTTTTAAAAGCTCGATCTATTTCCAAGACACTGAATGTCAAAACATGCTCATATGGTTGACGCATTAGGCACATCGGTCCTCCACAGTCTAACCGAGCTAAAAGTCGACCATTTGCAGCATACGTGGAAAAGCAAGATTAAAATCTTTTTTGAAATCTAAACAATGAAATAACCTTTAGGGCTTTTGGGTATTACGTCACCAGATGAAACCTGTCTCAGATCCTTGTTACACTTATCGCTGATCGAATGCTTAATATGAGCATCACGCAGTAAAGTCATAATTTCTCTCCGAGGTCTGTAATGATTTATACTACATCAAAAATCAACTCGCCTCTTACGGAGTCTTATATTCAGAATAAAGTTAATCTGAAAATAAAAGATATGTAAAACGAACGGCTGCCGTCCAAGTTGTTCAGGATATATCAGAGGCAAACAACGAAATGGACAATGCTGTTCGAGTCCCGGCGGTGAGTCAATATCACATTGATGTACGCCTGTAACTTGTTATTACCCATTTATTAGCAACCAAATGAACTTTAATTCGCAGAAAATCTAGAAAACCATAATTTTCACATCTACAGAAATACCAAATTCTTCTTTTTTATTACACGTTTCGTCACATCGTTTTTTTTTACTTTCAAGATTTCCATCCAAATGATAGGGCGCGTTCCTAAGAATGCCGTTCCTCGTTTGACTTCGAGAATAGGTAGGTGAACATGGATCCAAAGTCACGACTGTAGCACAAATGCAAATATGCAAAATAATAATGTTTTTTACAGTAAACAGATGAATTTAAAACTGTTCAGCTTTGATGAAACTGAACAAGTTGTTTCAACCTGAGTAAAGACTCTACTGAACTCTCACATATTAAGACATATTTTACTTCATCACTCTTCCAAGCAAAAACTTAAAGAGGAGAAAGAAAGGTGGATTTTTAAATGCTTACTTTCATCTTTTGGATAAAGGTGGGCTTCATCACCATGCACATAAACACCTCTACAATAATCAGGGCAGATAAACATAGTATTAAACCAAACGTGTCCAAACTTTTGACGATCTTTCTGCAAATAAAGCATTTGAAAAAATTAATGATTCTATTAACAATTAGATATTTAAATTAGAAAGCAAAATATTTTACCAAAGTCCATCTTAAGCCTCTGAACCATTTCTTCATATAAAAATCAATTCGAACGTCGCCTTCGATAAATACTCGCTTTTTGGCAGGTACAGTCCATCCATAGCAGCGTCTGGTAAAAACAAAACTGAATATTCGAACAAAAAAAAAAAGAGTTCCTGAGTAGTGTGACAAAAAGAACGAAATGAATATCAGCTCAAAAATGAGAAAGTAACTTACCTTGAAATACAATTTTTGTCCGGTTGTGGATCATATGGATTATAATGGTCCTCACCAACAGAGCAAGGATACTGGCCCCACTGCATTTCCTCTTCCTCAAAATCCCGATTGCTTAATCGAAGAGGTTCCGGTATGAAAACATCTACATCACCATTTGAAACTCTTAACCGATATGCACCGTCAAGTAAAATACCTGACAAAAAAATATTGAAAAAGTTTTGCAAGGGAAAGTAAAATTAAATTACGTGAAGAATAGAATGTCTGGATTATAAAATAAAAATTTTTTAAACATTACCATTGAGTTTCGGAGGTCGTTCAAAGTACACACCAATAAGTTCACAACGAAGTGGCATGTAATTAAGACTATGTTTTCTTAAATGAGAAAAATAATACACGTAACGTCGCTGAGATGGTATAGTTACACCCTGAAACTTCATTTATACAAGAATTAAGGGCGAAAAATTGATTTTTAATAGACATACTACGCTTTCACGAGCACCTACCTTGTTATTAACAGTTCTTACAATACTATAATAATCCATATTTTGTTTTGGCGAGCAATAGAAATTTATATATGCGAGATAAGCACAAATCATTACACCCGTACGTCCTTTACCCGCTTTGCAATGAACAACAACGACATTCTGTTCATCAGCAGCTAAATAGTCGTGAACCTGAAAAGTTGAACCAAGAATTGGACATCAGTTGGAAAAATTTCCGAACTTCATTCAGCAATTAAAATATACTTTCCGAAAAAAACAATTTTTGAAAAAAAGTGCTCAAGTAATTAAAAATTTTTTTTTGTCAACTTCTTCACTATTTTATGGAAAAATTTGGGAGATTAAACACATTAATGCTACCTGGAAGCGTAATGATATAAATATGCTAAATGCATAATTAAGTTACAAAATTATTTTGAGCAATGATAAAAGTGATATGAAAGAGTTACAAATTTATGTAAGTTTACATATGTTTTTGAAACTAGTAAACAGAGGTGACAATTGAAAAAATAAATTTTTCACAGAAAGCAAATTTCATCGCCATCTTGAAATAAAATCTTACCGCACGACAAAAAGGAGCCATTAATTCCAATCTTGGCGGATGGTGATCATCCATTTCAAAAGCCATAACACGGTTGTGGAAATAGCTTGGATCGTATGCATGCCGCCCACGCCTTGAGCATTAAAAAGGATCAGCGAAGAAATATTAAAATTAGAAGGAAAAGTGATGAACAAGTTTTAGAGTGATTTTATATACGTCTTTATATAATCTTTAATGGCTCATTTTTGAAATCTAAAAACACTACTTTAAAAACATAAAACTTCAGATCCACACAATACAATAATACTGAAAATGTTAATATTACCTCAAAATTCAAGTGAATTTCTCCGTCATAGTTTGCCACATAAATAAAAATGGCAAGACTTACAAATTAAAAACCATATAATGATCAGCATGGTAACGTTCCAGAAATTTGACTGTTGCCTCCATACTATTCCGATAAATTTTTTCTTGATCTGTAGCTGGGAATCCCATAGCAATGATTCGATCCGTAATGTCTTGAAATAATTACAGTATTAACGATACTGATTCGCCATTGAGACTCTACGTCGAAAACCCACTGTTTGCCTTTAGAGACCTACTGATGACTTTATTTTGAGTGACACCAAAAACCACATCATGACTGTGAAACATTTTCTCATTGGTTTATTAGAAGTAAGCACAGATAGAAACAGTAATATTTTTAGAGTCATGAGAAACTTTCCTGATTTGAATCAAACTTGAAATATCATGTCAAAAATGATGCGGCAACATGATCATGCTTGACAGAGCAGAACTGTATGAACCCAAATAAAACAACAAAAACACTGCCTTACTCCTGACCATACAAAAGAATATAATGCAAAGTTCTAAAGCGCATGCAATTAAAGTAAGCTCCTTTTCTGAACAGAAATAGTAAACATACACTTACAGGTAAGATCGAGATCGAAATTGTCCTTTTTGTAACGCCGTCTGTTCTGGCTGACTAAATTCCTCCACGGATTACATATCACATCTGATGTCTTTGATGTAACACAAAGCACAGTGGGAAGAGAAGAAGCCAAAGATGGCGTTCTCGTTTCTGGTACTTTCAAACAAGATGCAGACGATGTTGAAGCAACCGCCAAAGATTCTGTCATAGCTACTTCAATTCCACTCGAAAAATCATGGCACCCTTCCTAGAAATTTTGGGAATCAGTCACAAAAAGATTTGAAAATTTTATGTCCTACTCAACATCATAATGACGAAGATGATTATTAATATAACCTTATCCATTAAATGAAACTGAACTGAAATGAAAAGTTATAGTGAAACAATAGCAGGCAATAATGAGTTGATATCAGACAAAAAACATAGTAGATATATTATTATTAATATAATTATTATTAGTAGTAGTGATAAATAGAAGTAAACATCAATGTGCCTTAAGCGTGGTTAGTAGTATTGAAAAAGAAGCAGTAAAA